TGTTGTTGTTGTTGTTGTTGTTGTTGTTGTTGTTGTTGTTGTTGTTGTTGTTGTTGATTCTTACTTGCTTTGTTTTGTAGTAGCTTAGAGTCGTGTTACGCAGGACAAACCATCTAACTTTCCAATTCTAGAGGAGACAGGACATCAAAACATCTTAATTAAAATGTTTTTCACCTTTTTAATTTTTCCTAACTTTGTTAAGTAACCTTCTCTGGATGCCACCTGACAGTTATCACATTAGAAATAAACCATACAGCAACAAAGGGAGGGAGAGAGAAAGAAAAATAGACACTGTATCGAATACAGATAGTCAGTTCCAGTTATAATTCTTAGCATATTTCATATTATTTATTGCAATAAGGTACAAGCTATAGTTACTGTATCTACATGTACATGTACAGTAGATTAACATTCTTTACATTGCACATCTCACATACAACGTAATTGTACATGTGAAAATAGTAAAAGTATAAGTAATATCTAAAGGTAAAATCTCTTAAAATATAAAACAAACAGACAGTAAGATAAGTCTTGGACATTCGAAAGAGAGGGAGAGGGAGAGGGAGAGGGAGAGGGAGAGGGAGAGGGAGAGGGAGAGGGAGAGGGAGAGGGAGAGGGAGAGGGAGAGGGAGAGGGAGAGGGAGAGGGAGAGGGAGAGGGAGAGGGAGAGAGAGAGAGAGAGAGAGAGAGGGAGAGAGGAATAGAAAAAGAAGTAAGGAAAATAAAAAAATACCATCTAGTACACATAATGAATACACAATGAATTACTGCATGGCTCCAGAGTAGCACTAACCGGTGTTATTTGTTGTAATCTTCTGTGTAAACTATCCAGTTCAGGAGATGAATCAGTATCGGGTAAATCATAACTGTCACTGTCTGACTCTTCAACTACAGCATTATTAACCATCCTAGTTACAGCATGATGATGCACTTCTGTGTACAAATGCTGCTCATCAACTTCACGCGAATACGGATAACTTAACACAACAGTGATCCCTGAGGATAGATAAAATAAAAGAGAGTAATGCCTATAATGCATTATATTATATTATATTACATTATATTATATATTATACATGCAAGCAAGAGTGCATAACAGTACTAAATATATGTGTACCAATTGTTACATGTAGAGTGCATAATATACCTATTGTATAGTGGGTACGGTATAGAAGTAATCTTTGTCAAAGTGAAAGGGCATTTTATCATTTACATGTACCATTATCAAACAATAACAAGAAGGTAGAAATACACATGTACCGTATGCAATGATCAGAACAACATGTTGCCTTTTGCCAAGTTTAAATCAAAAAATAAAATATTAACGATGACAAGCAATCAGTACAGTTGTATTGAGTAGGGCCATGTATGCTTCAGTTAACAATAAAGTATTATCAATAGGTGCATTTTCCCACTATCCTTTTGCTACTAAAGAATTGTTTGTACATGTGGTAATGTCCATTGAAAAATTATCTTAGTATTACTATACTGTGAGCTTTCAAGTTTAGATAACAATAGGGCAGTGCTATTACAAACTTTATACCTGACTCTCCACCAACGATCGGTCTCTCTAACTCAAAGTGCTTCTTCAAAGCATTCACATTCTCAAAGAAACTCCTTCCAAACTGATACCTGCTGTCCGGGAGTCGCTTAACCTTCATGTGTTGAACTGATTGAGAGAACCTGGAAAGACACACACAATAACACAAGGAACTGATGGAGAAATGAATGTTCAGGGTTCAAAAGAGGAGGCACTATTATAAGAATTCCCCTGTCCCCCGTATTACAAATACATGTACATGTACATTACTCATAATCACTCGTGTGCATTATGTCTTGCTACTCATGACCAGATGTTTGCATATTTGTGCATCTCCCGGCATGTCTATACATGTGGTCAACATGTGTTTGATGTTGATGGTTGGCATACTTGACTGATAGAGTATATTGATCCTTGCCACCAGTCGCTGATGGTCTGAGGAGGTAAGAGCCTTCAGGAGCGTTGTCAATCAGCATGCATTCAGCTGAGTGTCTTGTTAGAAATGGATGAAACCACCTAGCGATAGTCATAAGGTCAATAGTGGCACAAAAGATGACTTTTAACGAAACGGATACAATAATTGTTGATATTGTCCCACATCCAATTACATGCTTCTTTCCTGCATACATTATATAAGCTACAGGTACATATATATATATATAAAGGTCAAATTTTTAAATTTGTATTTTACTAAACAGTTTATCATAAAAAGGCTGAGGCAAGTCTTCCTATGTGAATTACTTAAGGATAAGCTCTCACTCTTTCAATTGTAGTTCAAATACAAACAAGGCTGTCGTATAGATTCATTTCCTATTCCCATTACATAAACATGATATGTATTTTTCCAAGGACAATAGCAATCATTTACTATCTATGGTTTACTTCATTTTCATCATTGGGTCGCTAAGATAAGCAGTTGAACTCTCACTCGATCGAGACACGCTGGTAGCTCTGGGACTGGCAGAAGACACAAACGGCTGGTTTGACATTTCAGCCATCGCTACTGCTGGTCCAGTCTGCCTAAACCCTCCTTTTGAGCTAAACTGTCCCTTCCCTAGCCCGGCTTCTC